ATACTCTTATAACATAGATTATATTAATTCAAATAATTTGGGGTGATTGTGACACAAAGTGAAAAACCCTGAACATTTTATGTTTCAAAAAATCAATATCAAGATATCAATTTATATACCATACATGTTTTGTACTTAACATAATTTTTTTTAATATGATTTATAATTAAATTGCCCATCAGTGATAAATATCACACCTTTATAGTAGTAACTAATCTTAGTTTTTACAGGAATCGCAAGGTTTGTTTTTTAAAATCGTGTGAATATGAAATCGCGAAATTGAATTTTAAAATCTTGTGAATATATTACTTTAAAATTGCGTGAATAAGAATCGTGAAGTACGATTTTTAAACCATGTGAAAATGAATCGCAGCGTGTAACTTTCAAAGTAAGTAAATACGAAAATCGATGTTTGATATTCAAGCCACGTGAATTTGAATCAAGATTAGGACTGGGCTATAAATCGATATATCGCGACATATCGATTTAACGCCTGTATCGGCAGGCCGATACAGCGACTTTCGTTCCAGGCAATGCATCAGAAATCTGATTTAAGCCGTTGACGAACGATATAGCGATACAAGACACGCAAGGATCTCTTACGTTCCGATGCCAACTCACGCTGGGGAAGACGATGTACGTATCGTTATATTGAAACGGCCTTGATTGATAAGAGGTAGAATCAGAATCAGTTTTGAGAACATATATCGTAATCTCACATGTTTGTTACCGCACCTCTTAGTTTTTCTTTGTCGCGACTTGATATCGTTTCTTGTAGATTATTTTCAGTGGGACTGACTTTGTGATCCCCGTCGTTACCTTGTTCCAGGGCTCGAAAAAACTCAGAAATTTTACCCGTCCCCGAGGACGGCGTGTCCAACAATGCACCCGTCCTCCGTTGAAACTAACCCGTCGCTTTTAAATAAATAAAAATATAATTTTCTCCTATTTATAACAAACGTTTATATAAATTGCACAATGAATTAGTCGTTACTAGGATTGCATTATACAGTAATAAAAGAAATACTACTAGGTTACTGATAGTAACCTAGTATTTCTTTTATGAAATAATTTAAATTACAAGGGTCAAGTTATCCGAGGGTACTGCGTTTTTTAAATGAATCAAATATGACGTTTGCCAGTTCCACAATCAAGCCAATGATTTACAGAGGTTTCTGAACAGAAATCTGAAAGGGGTTTTCCATTTAGGTAGATGTTCATAATTG